GCACACAAACGTCCAGCAGTGTCCTCACCAGCGAAGGAATCCAGCAAGACGTGAGGAGATAACCCTGTTTATGGCTTGTCATGAACTGTATCTTGAAGAATCTTTAGCTGGGGCGCCGGCCTTTTGCAACAGCCTCTCCATGTGATCTTGGTGCTCCTTTGGCCCCGTATCAATGGAATGAAGTTGCGAATTGCCCTACCCGAAATGTCACTGCAACGGCTCGATGATTAACAAGCACGCATCTATGCTCTGTTGATTTTCAATATGGGGAACTTCGAAGACACTGCCTCCCGATCTATATTGGTCAAAGGGGGGGTGCTTGAGTGAATTTCGCTGTTGTATAGATGTGGATGGCCGGAGCAAGGCAAGCTGCCGTGAACAGTTGTAATCGTAACTGAGGTCATCATACTAAAATGTTGATCTAGCTTTTCACTATAAAAAAAAAGGACCTACAGTCTCCTAACTTTAACTCTAAGGTTTCGGAGAGGGCTTTTAAGGGGGGAAGCTGGAATAGTTGTGCTAGAACTAGAAGGTTGCAGTGGCACTTCCATAGGTCTGCGGCAGGCCTTTCTGGTCGTAGAATGCTGGATGGGCAGATCTCAGATATTCATCTACCACACTCAATAATTGCGCTGCGGTGACGATCTGCAGAATATTCCTTCACTCTGGCATGGCTTGACCTTCGTACCCATGTCGTCTGGATCCCTATCTCGCTTCGTTCTTCTTTTTCTTTTTCTCCTTTGACATGACAGCTACACCAAAGCTCCACCGTCAGTCGGAAACGGACTACTAGTGACTGCCATGGCATAAAGATCAAGCATTCCGAGCCATCCGGTTTGTGACGCAAACTACAATGGAAAGAGCTCGCTCGTGTACACACCACGAAGGGCCTACGGTGCTATGGAAAGTTTAACGCTCCATATGGACATCTACGACTCATCAACAGGCTTTTCACAGGTAACAACAGGAGTTTGAAAACATGAGCTACTATTTTGCAGTTCTGATTCAAGACAGCTTACTCATTTCGCCGGCCTTGGGACAATAGGGCGTTGATAAGTAAAGACATTCAAAGCCATAGTCCAGAAGAATAGCCTCTGCGGCCAGTGGGAGATTCTTGAAAACCCTGAATTCTTCCAAGGCACCTGGGCTTTCCACGCCGGCAATTCGACCCTGCTGCACGAAACACAGGTTCGATATTCCGCCCTGCTACAGTCTTGGATAGTAAAGTGAAACAAAGACCAACGTGTCAATCCTACTAAATCACAGAAGATGACTCAGGTCTGCTAAGTTGAGCGGTAATTGTGCTTGACATGACCATTGTGAAGAGTAGTCTACCTTACAGAGGTAGCAGGAAGTAGGAAAATTTCCTGAGTAAGCCGACCACTCCAAGTTGAGCCACGTGCAACAGGAAATTGGAAGTAGTGTTGTCTTCAGCTCGATGGACATCCACCAGTGCATTGGTGAATGGCGTAGAACCTATAGTGACCATATCAACGTCAGATCACCCGGCTCTGCAGTGGTCCTGAACCGGCAGGATCAAAGCCCTTGAAGCTCGCATGTCAGGAAGCTTGACCCTCTTCCTGCTGAAAGCCTTATGTCGTGATTGAACAGCTTGATGAGGTCTAGAATTCAAGAGACCTCCAAATCCTGTTTTGCTTCCAGCCCTGAGGAGCCGAGATCTCTCGTGTCTGCGACAAGGTGCAGGGGCCCTTCGGCTTGAGACACGCGGCTCAACGCGGGGCTATTCGTCCCCCTGCCTTCTATAGCGCGCATAACCTTCGCAAGCTCTATTTGTCGAAGGACCATATGCGCTCCTGTCTGGTTACATTGGAGTCGTGGCCGTCTCCGGTGGAGGCCACTACATATTGCCCATCGGTAGCTCCCAATCATGCCAATTCGGAGAGATTCCCGACACTGCAAGATCGGACGACCCCGTACTAGCTGAGAAAGCCCACCACCTCTGTTGACTCCCTCGTGGTCACTCGTAATCTGGAAGGATCCTCCCAATCAGTTGACTGCTTATCCCAGTGAATGCCCAGAAGTGGTGGTCTGGCAAGGCGGGGAAGAGACAAGAACCCTATCCCCGCACTTTCTCGCCCATAAGAAAGGCCTGGGAGGCCGAGCTCTCGACAGGGGTGTCCAATGACTTGGGCGATGAGAGTGCCTAAAGAGAGGATAAGGATTGCGATGATCCCCGCACCGCCAACGGGAAACAGGCAGGTCAAGAAACATAGCCCCTGTCCATGATGCGTTAGCGCCAAGGCCAAGCCCCCAGGCCCTGGCCGATGAAGCTCAACCGCCTTCAACTGCTGTGCGTCCGAAGTGGAATGGAGCAACACGACGCCCTACCTATACTCATCGGGAAGGTGAAACATCTGCACCATCTACTGCTCCTTACGACAACAAACCTCTCGGCGCCAGCCACCTTCTCACGAGCTGCCTTTTCTCGGCCAAATTCCACATCATTACAAGTAATCCAACCGAGCTGCAGCGATCCCCAACAGCCCAATCGGTCAACTCCCAGGTCTTAACGCCCCTTCTGCTGCGTCAATCATCACTGTTCCAGTCTAGTGGCCAAGAGAAAGCTACGGTCATGTTCTTGGCTATTCACCCCGCCCGTGAAATCGACAGGCTACCTGCCTTGCTGGTCAACAGGGGAGACCCCGAGTCTCTGTTCATGACAGCATGTTATCACGGCGCATGCATCAACTCGACGCCCCAGAGCTGGGGTCGCATTCGCTCCGCGTGGCCCAGAACCCGCCGAGTGATGCTACCTCGACCCGCAGCTTCCGCGGTCATCCTTCTCCATGGAGCTCCTTGGACCTCAAGATAAAACCTACACCGGTGCCCTACACTTTCCCATGATCTTTTGCCTTTGACAGCTCTCCTTCGATATCAGCAAGCAGACCCGGCCAACTAGAGCTGAGCAGCGAGTACCTGTCGTCCAGTAGCTTCCAGTCACCATGAGAGCCTCTACCATCATTGCCGCAACCCTGCCCCTGGCGGCGGCCAAAGTCTCCTACGATGGCTTCAAGGCTTTCTCGATCGACAGCCACGACAACTTTGACGCCGTCGAGGCGTCTCTCGCTGGCCTAAACTACGTGTCTCTCAGCTGCCAGGATGACCACGACCACCTCGACGTCGCCATCGCTCCCGAGGATCTCGCCGCCTTCGAGGCCCTGAACCTCGACGCTAAGGTTACCTTTGAGGACTTTGGCGCCGAGCTTGCTGCTGAGGGCGAATTCGAATCCTACACTGGTGAGTGTATTCAACTGGCTCCTCCATGACAATGAATGCTGAACGCCTTTCTCAGCCACCCGCAAGATCAAGGGTCGCAGCGCGCAGGACCTCCCCGACCTCTCGTACTTCAACTCGTACCACGAGCTGGAGGATCACCACCAGTATCTCGAGGATCTGCATGCCGCGTTCCCCGACAATTCGGAGATTTACACTGCCGGCGAATCGCTCGAGGGCCGTCCCATCAAGGGCATCCACCTTTGGGGCCGTGACGGACCCGGCAAGCACGAGGCCATTGTTCGTCACTCGACCCTTGCTTGATATAAGTATGCTGACCAAACTGTAGATCTGGCACGGTACAGTTCACGCGCGTGAGTGGATTGTCGCTCCGGTGAGTTTTGGCCCCCCCCCCCTGAAAGTGTTCAAAGATCGATTGGCTAACAACAGCTCATAGACTGTTGAGTACATGACCTACAAGGTCATTGATGGCTACAAGAAGCGCGCTTGTAGCTCCGTCCGCACCCTCGATAACTACGACTTCTACATCATGCCCATTGTGAACCCTGACGGTACGATTTTGGTTTCTTCCAGGTGCTCGGGTCGGCAGTCCACTGACATGTGCAGGTTTTGTCTTCACCTACACCGAGAACCGCCTCTGGCGTAAGAACCGCCAGGTCCGCACCGGAGCTTCCTGCATCGGCACCGACATCAACAGAAACTGGCCCTACAAGTGGGACGTCCCCGGCGGCTCATCGACGAACCCGTGCTCAGAGACATACCGCGGCCTTGCCCCTGGCGACACTCCCGAGATGCAGGTACTGACCAACCACACTCTCGGTCTGTCGCGCACCACCGGCATTAAGTTCTTCGTCGATTGGCACGCCTTCAGCCAGCTCATCATGCTGCCGTATGGTTACAGCTGCACTGAGGTTGCGGCGAACAACGACTACCAGATGAAGCTCGCCGCCGGTGTCAACGAGGCCATCAAGAGCGTCAACGGCCTCAACTTTGTCTTCGGTCCCACGTGCCCGACCATTTACCAGACTTCTGGTGTCTCCATGGACTGGGCTTACGACGTTGCCAATGCCGAGCTGTCTTGGGGCTTCGAGCTCCGTCCCGCCAACCTAGCCCAGGGTGGCTTTGTTCTGCCTCCCAGCCAGATCTTGCCCTCCGGTGAGGAGAACTGGGCTGGCATGAAGTGGCTGTTTGCCAACTTCTAAGCTTGCATATGGGAGCACGCGTGTACAATGATTGATGTACATATTACCTGCCCGGTGAAAGAATGATTGCCATCGGGCAATACATAGCGGAAACTGGATGAGAAAAAAGAGGAACAGATGATAACGACGATGAGAAAACATCAGTGTCATGACGTTGGCATACGAAACTGAAACCGTACATACAATGAATGTTACATCGTGGTCACGACATCGCAGGCTACAATTGACAAGAGCCTTCTATTGCCCATAGTCCAATGTGCATCACGCCAATAAGCTTCAAAGTTATTGTCATGGGGGTTGTTGACTTAATGCATTCTTGTGGTATGGGTGGCCTAAACGCAGACGTATTGAAGTTCCTCGGAACTTGAGATGAGACGTCTGCGGTCTAAGCTGCAAACCCGACCTCCCGGCACCGAAGCTCCAAGCCCAACACACTCAAGGAACAGATGGCGTCCTCAAATCTAAATCCTCTTTGTCACGGTGGCCAAAGGAATTGAGGTCCAGATTGTTGTGTGAGTGAGCTCAGTGCGTCGCTGTAAGCGATCACTCCTTGAAAGGATCGACATTGTCCTCGCAAGAACCAACGAAAACACAGCCTCCATTGGCCATCGTTACATGTTCGAGCTGAGTGTCGCAGGTGGCCCGACGTACAGCCGCCTGAATGCAGCCGTCATTGAATTTCTCGACTGGAAAGTCGGGCGTGAAGTCAAAGTCGACAGATATGCCATCATGGCCGTCGAGGTCAGACATGAAGTGTGTATTGCACCGGGTCCAGTGAATGCGAGGTGAGCCGCATTCATCGGCGATATAGTCGTAGAATACGGCGCACCAATTGGGGTTGGTCTCTCCGTTCGGTTCAATGCTTATGGTGAAGCTGATATGGGTGTTGCCAGGGCAGTTTTCGAAATAGTACTCACAGGTGGCGGTGGGTCGTTTGTCGAGCTCAAGGACGTTCTTGCAGTTCAGGAAGCCCCATTGCCAGTACTCCGGAGGCCAGGGATTGTAGTTATTCCAGTGCTGGGGGGATCTATAGTATCCTCTATCGTCGCGCTTCTGAACGGCCAAATCGGTGGCGTTGACAAGAGCCGGCTGAGTCTCGTTTGAGTGGCTGTGGTCGGTAATAAGTTTATGGTTCGCCGCAATACGACCAGCAACGGTGTTCGCGAGCATGGCCCAGAAGAGGGACAGCAAATGTCGGAATAGCATGTCGGAACGAGGCAGGTAGAAAGGTGGAAAATGGGGCAAGAACGATGAGTTGGATCAACAGAGGGGGGGCGAAGGGTTGAATCACGTAGCAGGTGTGAAAATGATGTCGAGGCGAATTCTGCTTTGCCAATTCAGAAGGATTCAAAAGCTGGTGTAAGGCATTAAGTGTGTGGAGGCCTACCTTTGAGTTGGTGCAATTCCAGGGACGACGACGACGAAAAGCTGAAAGGCTCGGTGAAGCAAAGCTCAATTCACTGAGGGTGCCTCTACCACTGTGTATACTGTTGTCCCAGGCAAGCGCACATTCACTAGTAGCCCCCCTGGCTACTACTCCGATAGTTAGCGTCATGCAGTCCACTCCACGAAAATTTCAGTTGACTGGTTTCTCCGGATGCATTTCACCACCTTGAATGACGGTCACTCCAGGCGCTGATCTCTCTAAGGAGTACTATAGCACTTGTAGAAGACCTCCATGACCTGGGTAGAAATCGAAGTCTTCCGTCGTAACTATATATCCAAGCATTCTTCCATAAATAAGAATCTTTCACCGAGGCACGCTATTCATTCTCCTCTCCATCCAATGTCCTCTGTTGAAGCTCATAACAGCTGCCTAGGTCTAATGAAGACTATTCCGATTAGCTTGGGTTACGAAGGGCATACTGATGCCCTAGGTCCTGCATTGGCCTTGACATAAGAAGGTACATCGGCTGTTGCTGTGAGAGTATAGCTGTAGTAGTCGCGCGGCTGGAACGCTGTGCCTGAATTTGCAGCCACAGTTCCAGTGTACGCCTGATAGATGTTTCCCGAAGCATTAAGAATCGCCCCTGAATCCTTGGTCAAGGGATTGCGGCAACTCTCAAAGTAGACATTCTCCACCCGAGCATTCGTCGATCCACGGGCGTAGTGGCCATATGAAGTCACTTCCAAGACATAATTATTGTAGAGATGACACTGAGCAAGGTTGTCGGCGCTTGAGTTGCGTTGGTTTGTACGGTCGAACCAGTTGTGGTGGATGGTGCCGCGCGCAACAACATTTTCCGTCCAACCTGGCAAACACTGGTGAGTAGTTGGCTCATGATGAAGATTACGATCTTGATATGAGATAACTTACCGATACCAAAAGCCTTATCGTGATTCCGGAAGATGTTGTTGGACACTGTAAAGAACGTTGTGTCTTTTCGCAGATCGAGCAACCCATCGCCGCCATTCTCCAGCAAACCTGCAGCACTAATGTCAGTTAAAAGACATTTGATTCGAAATTGAAACTGACAATGATCTATCCAGATGTTGCTTGTGGTATCCTTGGGTTGTCAGCATTATAACAACCTAATTCGCCTGCTTTGGAGCGGGATACGGCATGTAAATGAACTCACAGATTGAATCCCATCGTAGTCGTTCTCTGTAGTCATCGGCGTGTTGCCTGCCATTGCAAATCATTTTTCAGTCTTAAGTCCGTTGAAGAAAATTTTCAATAATTTGGACAACATACCGATCTTGAGGTTTCGAATGATGACGTTGCGAACCCCATGGATGGCAAAGCCGCCTTGGTCTTTTAGCTGAAGTATTACTGATGACTACACAACATTGGAACGCACCTTGGTAAATCTCGCCCGTTGATCCAAGGCCCACAATCGTTTTATCGCTTGAGACTCGAACCTCTTTACCAAATGGTACAATGGTGATTCGGCCTTGAACCTTGATGACATGCCGGCCCGAAGCACTGGCATATTTCTCAAGGTCGGATTGGTTAGTGACAGTGACAATTGTTCCGCCCGCACCACCAGTCGTTCCTCCATTGAGTGAGGCAAAGCCGTCAGCGGTTGCCACGCATGCTGATGACCCAGATGCGGGGGATGGAGCGGATGGCGGAGAAGGCGAGGTGCCCCCGGATGGGGTGCATTGCGAATACCATTCACCCTGGGCAACACAATTGCTGCCGCTGACGCAACAAGTTGGTCCAGCCCAGCCAGTGCCGCCGCATTGGGCCCTATCAAGACGATGGTCAGAATGCAGTCTCTGACTTCCCACAAGAGAAGTCCTACCAAGCTGTACTACAAGACTGACGTTCTGCAACGTTTGCGACATATGCTGCAGCAGGCACAATGCACGCGCAGGCGATGAAAGTAATCAAAGAAGTGAGCATCGTGCGATACATTGATGACACGGTATATATTTCCGGTCATAGAGACCTTTGTCGTCGATATGTCCGAGGCTCTACTTATAGACACTTCAGCATGGTGCTTGAGATGTAACGCCAAGGGCCATCCGTTGTGGCGAGCGCATCAAGCTACGGTTCACCCCAGGTGAAGGTAGTGACATAGGTAGACCCCGGGCTTCAAAAGCACCGAGATTCGCACTCGGTGTTATGCGAATCCCTCAATGTACGCCATTCTCCTCGGGTTCTGTTCCTGAATAGGGTTGCGGAGGGCTCGGCCGCGGAAAGGCCCAGACCCATGGCCAGCCTGCTGCGGTACAAGGGACAATCATGGTTCAAACGTCTCCAATCGAGTCAGCGCAGAACGCCTACTTAGGAAAAGATTTGATTGTCTGGATGCATACTTGGCGGCCTCGCATCCTTCATTCACGGATAATTCTCCGACCTCGAGTGCGGGGGCGGAGTCAACAGACCGAGAGTCGAAAACGGAGGTCCCTGATGGCATGTGCCCAGTACAATGTCTCCCAGTCCATTTGAACAATTACTGTGAAACGCCGATGATCAGATCAACGATTTGGCGTCTTTCTTCTTCTTTCAGAAATGGACTGTGACCACAGTCAAGCTCAACGATCTCAGCGCCGGACGCCTGCGCCATAAACTGTTGAAAGGCAAACGGCACCGCGTTGTCTTTCTTGCAAACGACATAGATCTTCGGGATCTTCAAATCGCCTGCAAGAAAGTCTACATTGTCTGTGAATGGTTGCTTGCTCTGTTCTGCCAACAGGGCCACGGCCCCATCTCTGAGACCAGCTTCGACGTCATTATAAAAGGCTGTCGTAACCGCTTCAAGCTTCAAGGGCAGTGTATTTTCCTGCGATTTTGTAAGCTGTGAGAATCTCCAGAGAGGTCGGTGATAATCTGACCTTAACATCGTGAAATTGCAATGAAAACCACTCGCCCCCGCCAGCTTCCAGAATCGAGACGCCCTTTTGAGTGGCCAATCCACATGCGATGTAAACAATGGAAATAATGCCCCCTTTGAGGCCTCGGGCTTCCCTCTCTGCAAGTGTGTGTCCCTCGATAGCCATGGTGCCCGGAATTCCGCCATAGCTGTGCGCGACGATTATGGCAGTTCTTCCTGCATCCAAATAAGGCAAGAGGTCGTCGTGGTACCTTTTGACGTCATCTTTGTGTGTTTTGCCGACGACTGAGTCGCTGTATCCAGAAGTGGCATTCGGTGGTGCCAGAACTGTGTATCCCTGGTCTTTCAGCGCATTGATCAACAAACGATAATGCAAAGGGCGATGCCATGCCCCATGGGCTAGGAGCACGACTGGTTGCTGGCTATGTGACATGATTGAAAGGACCTTGACAGAGATTTGCCATGTCGAGGTATACAGAAATTGATTATTCGGACGTCTCTACCTTCTTTAAATAATTATGGTTGCCGATTGCTCAGGAACATGATGACAGTGGCTGAGACACCAATCGCTGGATCTGTTGTATATGCCCCGCAGTCATCCTACGTTGGACGCAGTCAGCTTATGGATGCATGCCAGGATGGGACAGCTTGCAGCCAGTCACGATCCTAAAGCCGATCCACAGGCGACACCTTATCTGGTTTTTGTTGCCCATATGGTCTGATGATACCCCATTGGAGTGGACCGGAAACTCGGTATATATTCACAATGCTGTTTCGGGCCCCATGCGGCCGATGAGGTCTGTTCAGAGCATCAACATCATTCCCGAAAGATACGACGAAGTCCCAATGGATTCTCCATCAAACATTTTTCAACCGATGGTTGACGGCCACTAGGATTGTGTGTAGCGCCTCTAACATAGGTGTAGCTACCCCAAGCTCCCTGGCCTTCCTTAGCGGGTAGCCCAAAATGATGTCAACTTCCATCTCCCGGCCTGCTTGGCAGTCCATCGCCATGCTGCTGCTGATTGGGCCTATTGACAGAATTCTGTCGATCAAGCGGTCCGCGAGCTCGTGATCGAGCGGCACATTGCAGGCTATCGCGACATCTATAACCTCCGTCATGAGCTTATGCGTCATAAGCTTGGCTCCAGGAGAGGAGCGGAGCCAGGCATGCGTGTCGAGTTGTGTCAACGTGGTGAGGGAGTTCCAAGCGACGTTCCAGACTACCTTTTCCCAGCGCAAAACTTGGATGTCGGGTACCACGTTGAACTTAGTGTTTCCTTGCCTGAGTAAGGCAGAGAATCTGTCGAGCTTCGCTTGCTCGGACCTGGAATCAAGATCACTGTTCGGATACAGTCCAATCTGCAAATCTTCAGACTTGATCTGCTCGAATTGGCCAGGCTTGGGTTGTGTGGCTGCTGTCCAAGTCTGGTTGCGAGTGATGAAGTTAGCAATTGCGATCTTTTGCGACACACACACAGCCCGAGCTGGGAACATACCACACAGGAAATAATTGTCGCACGAGGGAATCGTGTTCTGAAGGGTTCTTCGTTGCCAACACCGTTTTGAATGATCGCAATGGTAGTCCTCTCTTCGTCGACAGCTGGCGCAATCTGGGCTGCTGACGCGTCTTGATCAAGTGCCTTGTTGGCGCAGACAATGAGGTCAAACCTCTGACCGGCTTCCGCTACTGTCCGGAGAACTGCCTGCAATTAGTGAATGAAATACCAGTGACAGAAGAGGCCGCCCATGCCTTTCGATGGGGCTATGATGTGACGACCATGACTTTCGCTGTTGAGAACAATGCCTCCTTCCTTGACTGCACTGAAATTCGATCGCGCCACCACCGTCAAGCGGACAGTTGGTGCTCTGCTCAAAATAAATGCATAAAACGAACCGATGCTTGTGATTGTATCAGCTTGGCTTGTTAGGAAACCTTGTGCGTGGATCTGTACTCACGCCCCTAGCCCATACACAAGCACATCAGTGTGTTTTGCTGCAGACATGACGGCTGTGACTTGAGATCCTGTACAGAGGGAGATCGGACACCTGTTTCGTGTGAATCAGTGACTATGCCTGAATGTCTTGCTCGAGAGGATACGCCACGCCTGCTTCATATTACTGCCTAGATATGGACATTTGTTCAGGTCCATAACAAGGTCCATAACCCGGTCCCAAGTCCAGCCCACTTGTTTCCATCCCATGTTGTGTAAGGAAGGGCGTGCACCATGCCAATCTCGGCTCATGTGGCCCCGCATTGTTTCCTTGGCTGCTGTTTTTCTGTATTGAACTTCGGAGAAAAAGGCTCTCCTTGACTCGAGGCACCGCGATGTATTGTGCTAGATCTGGGGCGCAATCTGGTCCTTGCGTGGTATGCATCGTGCCAGGATGAGCTTGAATGAGTCAGTCTCTCATCTCTCTCCCGCACGGCTGGTTCACACCAATCCCACCACCCGCGCCTAGGCACAACTCAGACCACGGCCGAACGGCTGTTCTATACCTTGGCAGTATCTCAGCACGGATGCATCTCGAACCACTGCTATTTGCCAAACTCTGCATCAGACCCTTTGAGGCTTTGCAGATTTCTCTCAGCTACACTGAGGCTTGCGGCGACGTGCAGTTGACAGCTTCTCGTCGCGCAAGGTGCTAGGTATGTACCTCAAAACAGACGCCGTTAGACCCCTGTGGCGTGCCGGCATCGATGCCGCAGACGGGATGCAGTGTCTTCTCAGAGATGTCGCAGAACAAGCCTTTTGAATTATTGAAGAATTGGGGCTAAAGGGAGTTGTACTTTCGGAGAGATTGGATGCACTGGTGGCTTCGAGCGGCTCGACAACGGGAGATGTCGCCCTGGTACAGCAGTCAAGGCCTTCGACTGAGGGATGCTGTTGTTATCGGATGCCGTGTAGGACCTCAGAGTCAGTTGACCAAGTGTAGCTATTTCGCTGTGCTAGTTGGCAGGTAGATCTCGACGATCGTCTTGCGCACTGGCGAAACTACCTTTATCTTCGTTAATGTTTCAAGAGGCTACACCGAGCCTTGTACCCGACTTCTTTCTCGAGAAGCTTGCTTTACATCAGTTGACTTGCGCTCTGATCGCCGATTCAACGCACATGTCAGCTTAAGCAAGGCCATCGCAGAAGATCGAGAATGAAGAGCAAATCTCGACAGATTCGCATGCGGGGGAGGCCGTCACGTAAGTTGACCACACGAGAGGGCACGCTCCCAGAGCCATGTCTCCTCGGTGTCTCACGGCCTGGTCATCCTGAGCGCGGCGCGCTTGTCGTTGTAAACCGTCCGACTGGCCTTCGCCATTCCAGCCGTAACTTCGGCTGCCGAGTTTCGCATCGTCAGTCCGACTTCACTTGACAGAACGGCGTGCGATGCCACTGACCAGGCGCCATGAGAACAAAGGAGGTCTGCTAGGGACATGCAGGGACTCACTCACATATTGGGAATCCCGCCGACGGCCTTTCTCCTGACGTACCTTAGCCTGATCCACCGTCAGGGTATTTCAAGGCAACAGCGATCTTGAAATGGTTATTTTGGGGGGTTTTCTTTCTTTTCTGGCCCGGGGAATTCGTCCGCAGAGGCCAATATGCACGCTGCCAGCGCTGACTGGGTACAAGGCCCGAGAGCCGAGCCTGCAAATAAAGCCACGCTATCAGTCATTGTGAGAAATGTCAAGTCGATTAGCGAATATAAGCGGAGAGCAATAAAGAACAATGGGCGGAGGAAGGGTACGACCCGGGTGGAGGGTGGCCTGGAGTGAACTTTATACCAAGAGCGCTGGTAGCGGGACAACGAACAAGGTTAAACCTTCTGGAACTCATGGTACCATTGACTTGCACTTCTGCAGGCCCATCGCAGAGGTGAGTATGGAAAAAGCAAACTCTTAAGCTCCAAGCTTTGGATTTGGTATTATTCGACGAGATATAAACTGGTGTAAGGTCCATCTCTTTTTGTACAGCAGCGGTGCTTCCTTCTAGGAATATGTGGTAAAACAACATACAGTAGGGCGATTGACCCGATCACCCAATGGCGGGCGGTAGACAGAGTAGGAAAAAGGCGATGCTCCCGGATTACGCTGCAGACGCCCACCAAAAACTTGACTCAATAAAACTTGCGCACTGTTCATGCCAAACCCAAGGCAGTGATGGCATCACTTCACCTCGATGGGCCCCCGGGCCCGTGCGTGAAGCCGAGACGACCATACTTATCGGTGTAAGGCCTCTCGTTACCGAAACAGGTGACATAGTTCATGACTTCGGTTGTGTTCATGCCGCCCGGGTGTATCTTCTCCATCTCCTCGCGCATTTGGTTTTTAGGCTTCCCTTCCTTGAGCCGGTGCTTCTCGAAGAAGACATATGAACCGTAATAGACGCAGCTGGTGTTGCCCGCCGTAGCGCCTTTTTTACCCAGAAAATCGTTGAGTTGTTTCGACTGCACTTTGCGGTCGCCGGGGAAGCTCTTGGCGATCTCTCGGCAAAACGCCGCCTGCGTGACGTCAGGCTTGCGTAGGAAGGCGTTGATTTTGCGTCGTACATCGTCGCATGTGTCGTACACCTTGACGGCCTGCTCACTTTCTCCTTCAAGCGTTATGCCGCTAACATCAAGATCCTTGCTCTCCACGCCACGGCGGACCTTTTTACCAGGTGCCGCCTTGAGACCCTGCAACTCGCGCTTGCGGAAGAAGCGATTAGCGGCGTGGAAGACGTCGCTACCGTAGCCGACGTGAGGGCCGACCTGCTTCATGAAACGCTGGTACGAGGCAGGAGAGCAGCCAATGGCCGTCTGGAATTCGCCGACCTTCATATAGCCGCCTTCTATAAAGTTACGGATCTTGCGGCGGATCTGGTTGGCCGAGTCTTCGCAGAGGTCGAGGCGAGGGTCATCATCGTCGATCTGGGGCAGGGCTTGGCAGTCTTCGATGGCGTCTGACTTGCGTTTTTTGTGAGTCGACGTGGCAGAGGACGAAGGTGGGTTGAGGTTCGAGGTGGTCGCAGCGTCCACCGTGCTTCGCGCTCCCACCATGATCGAAGGATGGTGTATCGTTCCTCGAGGGGTTGCTGTAGCTATCGGCTGGTGTGCCGTCGAGATTTGGTGGTATGACGTCGGTATCGTCGTCGTTGGGGAGTGGTATGTTGGTGGCGATTGGTGGTGTACAACGGGTGGTGGATACGCGCCGGTTGCATGAGATATGGGAGGCAGCTGTGCCGTGGTCGCTGGCGGGTGGGATGATGCGACGGGAGGATAGGCTGATGCTGGAGGGTGAGGCGGCCGAGCTGTGGTTGTGCCGAGTGGTATTAGCGCAGGAAGAGATGTTGGCCTCCCTTTACTCGCGGCACCAGCCTGGATATTCTCATCTCGTAGGGAGAGGGGAGCAACAAGTGAAGCCTGGAAGAGGACATGTGAGCTAAGAGAGCCTCGAAAGCAGACCAACAACTTGGTGCAGAGAGTAAGGAGAGCGTACGATGCCAGGTAGGATGGTGTTGGCTGTGTTGGTGGTGCTGGTGGTTTGTGGAGGGGGTGTTGGGTTGGATCGGTTGGCGTCAACGTTAGCCAGCGGTAATGGCTGACTCTCCGTTTCCCAAGGCCGCCAACTCTGGACCATGGCTGGGTCGGACGAATGGATGTGTGCTTCAAGCAAATCTCGAGCACATACAAAGGCAGCAGCAATTGCAGGTATCGAAGGAGGGGTCGGTCGGAAGTGGATTTTTTTTTTAGAGGATTCGGGAGTGGAGGAGTCGAGCCTGCAGGTGTTTGTACGGGTGCATGTGTGTGTGTGTGAATGTGGAGGAGACAAAAAAAAGAAGAGAGCAGAGCCGGTATCCGATGCAGCTTCAGGCAGGTTTGTTTGGTTAGGCAGGTTTGCCAAAATTGGGGTGAGAAAGGGGTGAAGTCATGATCCAAGTATTTGGCTCCAAGGGCTCCAAGGGCCCACAGCACAGCGCGTGTTGACGCGCAGTGTTTCACGCTAATTCCCAGACCCTGCATGCACCTGTACAATGTACAATGCACCTTCCCTTCTCTCCCGTTCACTGCTGATTGCCTGTCTTGGTTGGGGCTGAGTCGTACCTGGTAAAACCCAAAACCCGCCTGATGCTAGTGCTAGCGTGCTAGAGCTGTCCAGTGCTTCTTGCCCGAAGCTAAGCGAACGAGCGAGCGAGGGAGGAAGGGAGCAGGAGCAGGGGGGCAATTCCGGTACCTACCTACCTAGGCACCTACCTACCGTACTGTCGAGCAGGAGCAGCATCTGGCGTCGGGTGGCCCAAGCTCCTTCTCCCTCGCCGTTGTTGTCACCTGCGCCTGCCTGAGCTACCCTCAACGATACGCACCTTACGTAACCGTGGTCACCTGCGATCATCGGCTCCCAGATCGCGACATCACGAGGGACGCAACACTACCTCTCCCTTCTTCTATCACTCTGCGCCAACCTACTCCAGCCTCTCGACCTCCTCAATTGCCCCCGAATACCACGACCACACGCTCCTGCAAGCCCAATGGTCAGGAACCTTCATCTGACAGGCCTTGCGGCCGCGCTTGGCGGCGCATCAATCTTGGGGGCTCTAGCCCAAGGTATTGACCAAACACCAATGGTCGATGAACCTGAACACAACGTCGCCAAGCCTGTCCTCTCCGGTGACAGGTCTGCGATTGACTCTGAAGCTCTGCAGAAGCTTATCAAGGGCGACAACCTCTTCGAGAGGGCCAAGCAGCTGTACGAGATCGCCAAGCTTGGCGAAGCCGAGTACAACCACCCCACGCGGGTCATCGGTAGCGAAGGTAGGTTCAGTTCGAGACCCCTCGTCTGCAGCCTGAGTGCATCACGGCAATCCATTAACACATTACTGACCTGCTGTAGGCCATCTGGGCACCCTCGACTACATCTATTCCACCATTTCTCAGCTTGGCGACTACTACACTCTCTCCAATCAGTCATTCCCTGCAGTCACTGGCAATGTCTTCGAGTCGAGACTCGTACTCGGCAACAAAGTGCCCAAGTCTGCATCTCCCATGAGCCTGACGCCTGCCACGAAAAACAAGGAGCCGGTGCATGGCGACCTCGTGCTCGTCCAGCACGAGGGATGCGATGAGTCCGACTACCCCGAGGAGGTTCGCGGCAACATCGCTTTCGTCCTTCGCGGCACGTGCCCCTTCGGCACCAAGTCGGCCAATGCCGGAAAGGCTGGCGCCGTCGCCGCCGTCATTTATAACTACGAGAAGGAGACGGTCCACGGTACCCTCGGAACCCCGTCGCCAGACCACGTTGCCACGTTCGGCCTTGGGTACGATGACGCCAAGCCCATAATTAAGAAGATCAAGAAGGGCAAGACTGTCGATGCCATTGCCTACATTGACGCCGTCGTCGACACTATCCAGACTACCAACATCATCGCCCAGACTGTAGGCGGCGACCCTGACAACTGTGTCATGCTAGGTGGCCACAGTGATAGTGTCGCCGAGGGACCCGGTATCAATGACGATGGCTCTGGCAGCCTGTCGCTTCTTGAGATCGCCACCCAGCTGACCAACTTTGACGTCAACAACTGCGTGCGCTTTGCTTGGTGGGCCGGCGAGGAGGAAGGACTCCTTGGATCCGACTACTACGTCTCCGTCCTGCCGGACGACGAGAACGAGAAGATCCGGCTTTTCATGGATTACGACATGCTCGGTAGCCCCAACTACGCATACCAGATCTACAATGCCACTAACGCCGTCAACCCCACCGGTTCCGAGGAGCTCCGTGATCTGTATGTTGACTGGTACAAGGCGCATGATCTCAACTACACTTTCATCCCCTTTGACGGCCGTAGTGACTACGATGGCTTCATCCGCAACGGTATCCCCGGTGGCGGCATCGCGACCGGCGCCGAGGGTGTCAAGACGAAAAAGGAGCAGGAACAATTTGGAGGCAAGGCTGGTGACTGGTACGACCCCTGCTACCATCAGCTCTGCGACGACCTCCACAATGTGGACGTCGAGGCCTGGGAGCTCAACACCAAGGTATGTTACCACCGCCGATGATCATTGCATGTGCTCGATACTGACGATCCATCAGCTTGTGGCTCACTCTATTGCGGTTTTCGCCAAGTCCTTTGACGGATTCCCCAAGCGGACACTAAAGGACGTTGCTTCGTCCGAGCACGCCGAGAAGACGTTTTACCATGGAAGCAAGTTGGTTATGTAATGACGTTGATTTAACTGAAGAACTCGCCTATTTCAAAGTCATCTTGTGTTGAACTAGGTTTGGTGATATTTTCCGCCATGGTTAGATGCATGATTCATACTAGTAGTACCCAAGCAATAGATCAGGGGGTGGTGTCAGAAATAAACGCATCCAAAACCAATCATCGATGCTATTCTGCCTAGCTGGTTTCACTGTTGCATTCCCTCAGACGTGTCTGTCTTCTATGTACGTAACCACTCTCTATGCTTAAAAAAAATATGCAAAAGGAACAATCACTGTCCGAAGACATCCCTCTGTAATCCGTCGGTCAATTCAGTCCGCTCCATATGCTCCGGGGAGGGGGGCGCCACATCAAAGACAAAAATTACTGGTCCTTCGCCATCTTGGCCTTCTGCTGAGCACGTTCCTTCGCAGCCTCGGTCTTTTTGGCCTGAGCCTCTTCCCTCGTCCGCTCCCACTGTGTTTTCTCCTCGAGCCGCGCCCGGATCATCAGCTCCGTGGGCGGCCGCTGGTCACAGCCAGTAGCACAATCAGGACACAGCTCCGCGGCGACGGTCACGTCCCCATTGGCAAGTGAAGCAGGCTTCAGCTCACGGCACAGACGCACGGCCGACTGGGCCAGGGCAAGGTCGCCCCCGCCCGAGGCGACGAGGACGTCAAAGTGGCTCGCGTCGAAGAAGCTTGCGCAGGGCAGACCCTCGGGCAGGACGACTTCGTCCGCCGAATGGATGTGGGCGCGTGCGGGGAACTTGGCTGTCTGAGCTGCGTCGAGCTCGAAGGGGCGGACGAGGGCGCATGTAATGTCCTTGCAGGGACAGAGGCGGATGTTGAATAAGGTCACTCGACACATTGATTCAGTGGTCTTTTTTTTCTCTGCTGGTTAGTGTGTTTGCTTCGGTGTTTGTATTCTGTTGGTCTTCTTTCCGCTATTCATGGGATCGATCTGCTCGAGAAGGATTCGTTGTCTTAAGAGGATGTGGAAAGGCTGAAGCGTGGCCGAATAGCTGTTCTGTTCCCCTTGCGCTGTTTTCAATCACTTGATTCGGTTTTGGACGTTTCCTTCGGGTATTTACTTGTGTTTTGGTGTCAAAATCGCTCCTGCGCAATACCACTGTCAAACCACAAAGATGGCCATGGTCGGGAACACTTTCGTCAACAGCTGCACCGAGTGTACAGAGTTATGAGCCACCACTAACCTGGCGATAACTTGCACAGTTTCCAGGACAGACATAGACGAGCCTGGTAATAAACCAAACTTCATCCAAGCCTTGTCATCCGGGGCGCCTTGTGTCTGATCTAACGTGATTACCGTTGGGCCCCACGAAGACGGAACTTAACACTTCCACTTCGGTGCGCATTCATCAGTGTGCAAAATCATCTGGTATAGGTGCTTTCGCAAACTGTAATATCTGACATGCGACATTTTCAATGTTCTTACAGTATGCCCTGGGCTCTAGAGTCGGCATTGTTTCCTCTCTCGGTACTTGGAGGATGGGCTGTCAAGTCGTCGCGAACCAGTGAAGTCATTTCTTTGCGGCGTAGCTAACATCACGTACACGAATGTTGTTCAACGCCGATAAATGGACGTTGTATTTATTCTCATAGGCCGTCAAATTTCCTTCAACCCAGCGCTGCGGGTCCCGGGTCTGAGTATCCTCTCCCACGCCGGTGAGTCGTCGTGGGTGGTGGCGAATTCGATGCCTGGGAGCCCGAACAGTTCAGCAGGAGGTCGCTGTCGTTGATCTGCCTAACCACGGTCTCAACTTTGACGCCGGACCTCAGCCTTTGCAGCATGTGCACGGCGTCAAGGTCCGAGAGATCCATCAGCACCCCGTAAAGCTCCTCGTAGACCGACCTCTCTTTGAGAAACGCCCCGTGTTGTCGCCTCATTGCCTGCGCTCTCGTCTCCGCGGGCTCTGTAGCATAGTGGCACTGCTGCCCGCGTTTTACGCAAGGGCGGCATTCAGGCCTCTCGCCGGTGCACTTTGAGGCCATTCTTGTCAGATCTGAAGCGGGTTCTCAAGTCTTCTTGGAACCAACTGGGAAGTTCGGCATTTCTGGGAGTCTTCCTCACCTTTGCTTTGCGCTTTCGACAGGCCTCGCATGCCGCACTGATAACTGAGGTCCGTTGCCTGGGTGGTCTCGGGATCTGCTTCGGAGACGGCATCGGCTGAAGGTTGAGCAGGCCAGCGACCTGCGGAGGCGCTGGTACGGGGAGTATTCGTCGGAGCTTCGCCGCAGATTTGACCTGAGCTGTATTTCCGCGAGGCTGGAACGTGTTTGCCATGTTTGGCATCTCTTAGAGTCCTAATTTTTGACGAAGAAGTAGGTCTTGGCGCCTGGAGGCGGGTATTTACAGACGTCGGTTTGCACTCGTATGCGTTCGTTTATGTAGACAGTGTTGGGAACCAGCCCGAGCTCTAATAAACTCCTGGGCTCGCGACCGAACGAAGGTCCCGCCTTAGCTTGCCAAGTTAGGCCCGATTGTTCCCTCCTCGGTTTAAAATTGGAAAGCTCATCAATTCAAGTGTGGAAAGTTTTAATGACCGGACCTGTGACCAACAGCCGGTGGAATGATGATGGGTCAGTGATGCCACCGACATGAAGACTCTCGTGCAGGTCCCGGGTGGCCGCTGAGATTTGGTTGGAGCGCAGGCCGGGAAGCAAGTAGGCAGTGGGGGGAGGGGACGATGGGCCTGAGAAAGGGGAGCCGTGAAGCCTGACTGTGACAGATCACTCTGACGCCCTGGGGGTGTGATCCTGCGGGCATGACACCTGAGTCGTGAACTCAACAGCGCGCGCCTACTCTGTGGCTTACGTGCCGTTATCTGTGCTAACAATCCACCAGTTCCGACAAGCAAGACGTGTGTTAGAGCTTGGTGATACAAGGCACTGCGCGGAGACGGGATGGTGTGGGTGCCATCAAGGCTCAAGATCGTCCCTGGACGTGGTTGTGGAATGGAGACCCGGAAGGCATCTCCGCCCGAACCTGTCTCCCTAGGGACTCAATCAGCAGCAAGCGGAGTGCTGGCTGTGTGACTTTGGGTACCTGTTCCTCTCGTCGTTGGCCCAAGAGCATTACTAGGTCTGCTTTTCTTCTACACTAGAATCATCACATCATTGGACGACCCACGGGCGCTTTTCTCTGCTTGGCAGTGCCGTGCGGAAGGGGCTCCGACGGGAACCCAAAGTTGACTATCCAGTCGGCTGGATGTGCGCGCGTTGCCAAGGCCAGATGTGAAGAAATGCACCATCATAGATGAGTCATCGTACTTCTTGACAGGACTGCAAATGCTACGTCTTGGCTGAGGCTATCCGATACGTCAACAGACGAACCACTGATTGCATATGTGCAGGTGACAGGCATTGGCTAAGGCCTGCGGGTTTCCAGTTACGATTAAGGGCTTTCGACTGCCCAACCGGCTGGTGCAAATAATGACAAAACTGAGCCTCATGAAGCACGCATGTTGCCCATCAGCAGCTTTTGTAGGTAGAGGAACTTGTTCTAGGGTCATCAAAGGCGGTCGTCTCAGTCGACACGGTAGTGAAGCGTGCCAAGCTATGTCACTGAGTGTTTCTTTACGCAATCTCACTGTTAACATGCAGTGTTGCCGAGGTCTGAAAATGTCCGAGCCCCATTGCGGATCTTTCCATGTCGATTGCCATCCAATGTCGCTAATCTTCGGGCTTCATCCGTATCCATGGCGTCTTGAGGGGAGGCTCTCCGCGCCTTCACTAACTTCAACGTACCCAGCCATGTCCATCATTAAGGTGGCCCGCATTTTGAACTGCATGAGCGCCTGTATCGCTTAGACGCAACACGAAGCCAAGGTCTATGATGGCCAGAAGACGTCAAAGTGGAACAATTCTTGGTTGACTTGATGTCCATTTGCATGTACCAAATTACGGATTACAGAATCGTACGAGGCCATAATCCCTGCAAGGCCCCAGAATCAAGGCGTCTATGGCGGCAGAAAGGCGGAAGGGTCCCACGCTGCCATGATTCAGCCAGTACGTTGGTGAGATCAATGATTGTCCCGCTCCAGCCATCTCGCGCACGCTTCATAAAAGCTCTGTACCTCAGACTCGTATCCCAACGCCGTCTGAAAGTGGCTTTCGCCCGCCGTTCTCCGCATAAACTGCAACGCCCCGGCGTAGATCAAATCGGCATACGAGACTGCGTCCACATCATTAGTCCATCATCATGATCTCACTCCCCACTCGCACTTCGCATCCGAGTCAGAAGAGGACAAAATGCAACAACTCACCAGTCTCTCCCAGGAAGAATGGACCTTCCGTCTCCCGCAACAGCGCGGCAGCCTTGGCAAACACCGGTCTTGCATTTTCCCACGATTCGTCTCCGCCCTGGGTCCTCCGGACCTCCTCGAGCGTCATGCCGAACATTCCCCGTCGTGTCTCTTCGAAGTAGGGCCGCGACGCGTCAGTGAGGCACTTAGTCGCAACGTTGGGGATCAGAACGCCCGTGAGCGGACCCATTGTCTCCCGAACGAGAGCCTGCACCTTTTCGGTAGCGGGGTCGTCGACGCGTAGCGGGCGCTCGGGGTACCGCTTCTCCAGCTCGTCGATGATGAGGCGTGAGTTCATGACAGCCTTACCATCCGGGAACACGACGGCGGGGACGGTATAGGGCTTAATCTCCTCCGGCTGCGGGGCGAGGCCGAGACCCTTGAAGGTGGGCTCGATGTCGGGATACTGGATCCACGTGGTGGTGTAGGGGATCTGCTTGTAGTTGAGTGCCAAACGGGCTGGGCGCGTCAGCATGCCGTAAGGCTTGTCGCGAGTGTCGGGGTCATGATGCGATCAGTCCGCGTTGCGGGGAACAAACTCACTCTTCCACGGGTTGAGCGACCAGCATCCATTGCCATTGTCCTTGCTGGGCAAATCGTAGAGGATCACCTTGTCCGACATGATGTGTGCGCTGCAAAGAGGTCTGTTGGTGAACAATGCCTTTTTCGAATCGAATACGCAGAAGTTTTCCGCGATCCAATTTGTAGGGGCATAGGCAAACCAGACACAACACGGGGCGAGTGAAGGGCTTGAAGTACTCGCCATGGAGGCCATGTCATCGTAATGCTACACTGCACCTCTGACGCCCTAGTGGGCCGAGCGAAGGGCGCAGTCTAGACTTCCATCGCGCTCTTGAGAGTTTAGGTCCAACTACACAAGCATTGTTCACACGATATGCCAACACACTGCCTAAGGTCATGACCGCCGCGTTCCTCAATCTTCCAGATGCATGGCGCCATTCCCACCTTGCTATGCACGCGGCTTACAACATGAGGCGGCACGACATTGAAGTCAGCGACAGCCACGCAGAACACGGGGCGCAGCACGGCACACAGCACCCGGAAAGGAGCGTCTCGGCATGCAGGAGGATTTTTCGTATCGTCATAGACCCACTGCTTCCAGGGGACCAAGAGGCTAGATCGACAGAGTGATGAGCGCCATGCGCCGCGCGACGGCATGAACCAGGGTACAGAACAGCACGAATCAATCAAGACGCAGAACCAGTCAGTGATGGCAGAAGCCTGTTGGACTTGAAGCGCGCATAGTAGGCTGCTACATTTACAGCGCATTGCTTGCGCAGCTGAAGACGCCCTTCGCCCCGGCCCTGAACTCCTCCAGGATCCCCTCAACGCTGGCGTACGTGCCGACCGTGAGGAACACGACACCGACGCCGATGATGAACAAATTCAAGGTTACGGATACCGCATCGCTGATCTTGCTAGGGCGTCCATATCCAGCGGCTTTGTCAACGGATCGCATGCGGAAGAAGGCGACTCCCCAGAAGATGAAGCCGAAGAAGGAATCGAAGAGGGATGACATGAGCGACAGGACTGGGAGTGTATCAGCGACCTTTATTCTTTCTTTACTTGGAGGGATGGCATCATATTCAGTTTGAAAATACGTACGAGAGCTGAAGATGGGAATGACCTCGGCAATGATGAACGCGGCAACCCACGTTGCGACTACAAAGTGTCAGAGCCGTGTGTTCGAAAGTTTCTCGTAGGATAGAGACATACACAGAATACCTGCCCAACTCGCCCAGCCGACCACGGTGTGCTCGTTGATATGGCGCTTGTTATTCTCGAACACGCGGAAAAAGACGAAGCGGCTCGAAACAGCGGCGTACAGAACACCAAGGAAGATGAGCGTCGGGATCATGAACGAGAAGGCTACTTTTTTGTGAACCTCGTCGGACAGCGAGCCGAAGGCCGGAGCCGTCATGTACTGGTTGCCGACATTTGAGTAGATGACGGCACCGACGATGCTGAAGACGATAATCTCGCCAATGGTGCACGCCCATAGGGCTTTCGGGAAGTCCCTGACCCAGAATCAGTATCACAAAAGTGCAGGTCACGAAATTGGGAACTGTACGTACCGGGGGTTGCGCATCTCGGCAATGAAGCTCGGGAGCGTGATCTGGCCGATGAAAGTGTAGCTGATGCTCAAGAAGGCATTCATGCCAGCAACAAAGGTCGTTCCGGGGAACGGTACGGCTCGTACGAGAGGTTCACCGATGGCGGCGTCATATCCAGCGGGATGGTCCTGGATTCCGGCAAAGATGGTTGCGAGTATGACAGAGATGAAAGTGAAGAGCGCAGACGCAACGGCGAACTTGGACAGCAGGTCAAACGTGCGCGGCAGCGACGACAGCCAGGATATGATGGCCATAACGACGGAGAAGACGACAGTGCTGCAGCGCGGCCCACCGGACGTGACCATTGTGTTCAGGTATTCGGCGCCGACGAGGACATGGAGACCTTGGATGAACTGCTGATCATCAGGACTGCCGTCGCGGCGAAGATGCGAGGGAGAAAGTACTTACGGTGTTGTTGAGGATGAACATGACGGCAGTAGCCCACCATGCCCAACGGTGGCCCCAGAACAACATCTGGCCAATGTCACAGATGTCGCGAACCTCGGGGTGGCGCAGACAGAACTGCCAAAGGATAAGTGATCTGTTGGTATTTAGCTTGATTGCTGAGTCCTTTACTCGGGGAGAAACTAACGTGTAGAGCACTGTCGCGGCGATGAATATTGTGAGAATCAAGCTGTCAAGGTAAGCTTGGTGTCATAAGTGACTGAATCGGTGCATCTATCCTACCCAGGGACCAGGCCTAACACGCTGTATGCCCATGGAAAGCTCATGATTGCCTATTCGGGTAAGAAAGAATTCATGCCGGACAGACGCCACGATGGCACTCACTAAGCAAATGTATTCGGAAAACAGCAAAGCAGCAGTCTGTATTCATTAGTGTCTGCATGTCGACTTTGTTCACCCCCGGGGATGAGGCATACCTTTGGCCAAGAGCAAGTACGGTACTGGATGGCGCAGCCATCCTCCTTGGCAAGCTGCTTGTGCAGAATGTCCTCGCTCGAAGACACGCCGCCCTCGATGGATGACGTCTCGGAGCGCACCGAGTCTGCGATGGGGGCAATGCGCGGGCCGATGGCCGTGTTGCGGCCGCCGAACCACTGGAAGCCGCTTGGCTCGGGCGCGGCCTCGACATCGCCGGCAGCCAGAGGCTTGCCGTCACCAACGGGGCTTGCCCGCTTCTCAAGGGAGGAGGAGTCAAGGGGCGAGCCCTTTGTTTCGTGCGTCGCCATGATACTATGTATCAGTAATCTCTCGGCAATTCGATGATGCTTATCGAGATCGGTATCGAGTATCGCAGTGAACAAGACGACAAGGCTCGGTTGTGAAAAGTATCTCGCACCCGGTTGGCGTCTCAACGTAAGCCTCAGATCAGATCGTCGTCAGGACACGCTTTTCGTTCGGATTGTGGTGCCAGAAGAGAGGTCCGCCACACAACAGTAAAGCAGCAGCGAGGGTAAGACGTCAAGAAGTGACGGGGACCACAGGGACGGGACCCTGGCCCAGAAGTATGGTCCGGCAAAGGACATCCCCGGCGAACGTTGCACTCGTTTCCCAGGTACCTTAAATCCCATTTTGCCTTGCTAGTCATCATCCATAAAAACGCCCCCCAATCGTGGAAGCATCAGATGGCGTGCTCTTAGCTCCCCTCGATAATCTCTACCTCCATCCACCGCTGGCCCTGGATCGCGCCGGTGATGAAGGATGGGAAGTGGCGCCGCCGGGGGCGTGCTCACACGTGGGGTACCACCGAGCCAGCACGTAAAGACCAGCTTTTGTCGGCACACAAGCTTTTGCTCCCAGCGAGCGGAGTCCCTGCAAGGTCGTCACTGGAGAGGGCGAGGAAACGCAGGTCTCACCCTCCCAATGAAGCACTGGCGCAAACAGCAGCACGCTATCCGGGCCAACACTATGTGGACCACCCGCTCTCGCGGCCAGACGGACTGGTTGCCATCTCGTGTCACGAACCAACGAGAGGGTCGCGACAGAAGGATTGAGATGCCGTCCGTTCCCGGACCCCTGTTTTCCGCGCAGACTTGGGCTCTGCCGGATGGATGTCGTGACGTCGGCGTGGCTGTCGGGGGGCGTTCCCGGCTGGTCGGGGCAGCCAAGAGAGCCAAGAGATTCCCGGATCTTTCACCCGCTGGCTACAGTCTACTTGGCAGGGGTCCCTCTCTTATGAGACCCAGGCGGGGGGGCAAAGAGGGCCAGAGCCAGAAAGGGCGTTTAACATGGGATTGCGTGATCGAGAACTCGTGCCCTTTTTTAACACAAGGTTTAGGTCATTTGCGACCCCTGGCTGCAGCGTTGTGAGAGAGCCTAGTTCTCCCTCGTGGAAAGCACTCTACGAGTGACAGTGAATACAGAGAGCCTGGCTGGCGTGTCACTCCCTCTAGCAATTTGCAGTGATCGGCGGCGTTCTCGGAAACACGGCAGATGGGGGAAGGGTGGTGACGTGAGACTGGTCTTTCAACCTGACTCGTCGGCTGGGCCGCTGCAAACGTTACTACATACCAGAGGTATGCGAAGACGTTCCTTAAAAGGCCCGTCTCGTGTTACCGACATGTCAAATCTCGATCCACTGCACCACGTGCATAGTTCGGCAATAGGCAATGCTGAATGGATGGGAATTAATCATTGTGCTAAGCTTAACCAGTGCGCCAGCCTCGGCTTCTCCATGTGTAACTCCGGTTCCCATGCGTGATAGACTATGCTGTGCCTTGCTCAGTCAGATTCGCTATCCTCATCAACCCACGTGCTTTACTACGGCCTCCAGTATCACAGCTGCACCCCCAATCACGGCTGTATCTCGTCCCACTCAACCCACCGCCGTATCACCTCATCAACTCTCCTGACCCCCTCTCGCGTTGCCTCGACCTCAAACCACTCCCTGTGATCTCGTCCACACGCGCCGCAACTTCCGCGGGCTGCCTTGAGTCCTAGTCCGGCCAGCTCAATGTGCACCAGCCTCTCGACGCGATGGCAATGCGGCGCCATCCGCGGCGCCTGGCCCGACGCCTCACTCGCTCCCGGCAGGTACGGGTAGTACCGGATGACCTCGACCTCGTACCCGCACTGCCGCGACCACTGCTGCATACGCCGCTGGACGTTGGCTGCGCGGCCGATCTTGAGGAGCATCGTCTTCTTGTCTTGCCGGTTGGAAGACGTCGACCGCGCATACGACGAGACAACATCGCTTGCGCGGCGCTGGCGGCCAGCTGCTGCTGTAGAGGGCGGTGCAAGAAGCGACCTGGCCGCATCGACTGGCGGCGGCGCCGACTTGTCAGTCGTGGGCGTCATCCAGAACATGTATATGTATCCTGCTTCCTCCGAATCAACGTATGGGCGTGCGAGTTCCGCCATCAGCGCCGACGCCGTCTGCGGATCGGTGTGGTCGGGAATGAGCGACAGGTACTGTCCCGTCTGGGATTTGGAGGACTTGGTCGAGAATTTTCCGGGAGACTGCGTCGAGAGGTTGGTAGGTCGCGAGGCACTCGACGAAGCGCCATTGTGCTTGGAAGGTCGCGGT